CCTAAGCCCTTGTTATGCCAGGCCACGACTCGTGAGCCACATCAGTGGGCAGAGTGACTCCTCGTCGAGTGGGGACTGGACGCAAGCACTGGATCACCATCCACTGGGCAACGTCATGAAGAAGGCCCAAGGGAGGGCTCTTTGGTCAGCATGGTCAAGTACAGGAGAGACCACTTCAGCCTTGTTAGCCCTTATCCTAGGCTCCTGAAGAATGGAAGGGTGCTTTGCCACACATGTTGTACGAACCAGCAAAGCTTTCAGTACTGAGCTGCAAGTAGCATGACAAAACTTTGAACTTGCCTTGGCTTCGGCCTGGTAGTGTCGTCTGTTGGTACAACCCATTCCAAGCTGAGCCTTGAGCTCTATTCAGGCGGCAATAAAGAAGTTGCCATAGTCAAACACGACGCTAGGGCTCCAACCATGACCTTGCCCGCTATGCCCAGCTGTGGGTAAGATCCTGGTTTAGGCTTCAGGGTTTGAGGGTTTAGGGTTTAGGGTTGAAGGTTTCAGCGAAGCACGAGTCTTGTGGCCTTCCTTCTCGGGGTTACAGCTGCTAGGGTTTAGGGTTCAGGGGTTAGTGGCCCCAGAAACAATTTGGATTGATGCGAAATCCTAAACCCACTTCCACTCCAAGAGAAAGCTACGTGCGTTGCAGTGCGGTCGTATATTTGGACCTTAACAGTACCCTAAACCCTAAATCCATCTTTCCCACACATAACCCACATACACTCTCGGAAGGAACTCTCTTAACCTGCCCTTCCCGTTTAAATAGGACTCTAGAACGCAAACATCCCCGTAGCCCAAAAAACACTGGAAAAAAACTCTAACCCTAAGCCCTAAACCCTAAGCCCTGCCCTCAACCCTGAACCCTCAACGCTAAGCCCTAGTTGCTTGCCACGACACTTGGCAGGAGTAAAGCCTTTCTCCGCACCTCAAGTGAAAGCTTGTCAAATGGGTCTAGGGTTTGGAGTTTAGGGATCTGGGTTCGGGTTTAGGGTTTAAGGTTTGGGTTTTGGGGTTTAGGGTTTGGGTGTAGGATGGTGTAGGGTTTTGGGTTTTCGGGTTTTGGGTTGGGAGTTTAGGGTTCCCTATGTGGCGGGTATTATTTAAGGCTTGTGGCTTCAAAGTCGCCACAATAGATATATTGGGTTAATGAGGATCATATAGGGATATGTAGTATAGGGATATGTAGGGCTTAGAGTTTTACAGGCTTGTTGTTCAGCGTCCATTTACCATAATGGAGAATCAAACGGAAACGAATAAATCGTGGTTATAAGGATTGTAATGCAACAAGTAGATGGTTGGCAAACATGATGATATCTTTGTGGGGGGGGGGGGTTGGGGGGTAATCTAGGAAGCACGGACACATCCCCACCAGCGTAGTCACGCCGCCTCGTTGTGGATGAAGCAGCGAAGCTTCAATGAGGTCACCTGACAGCAAGCCTGCAGCATGTTTTCGTAGCTGCAAGTATGAACTTGCCTCAAGTAGCCAGCGCCAACGACTCAGGGCGCTTGCATGCGAGACTGCACTCTGCTTCAGCATGCCCAGCAAGCCATTGGCGATGCCCACCATCATTCCGCATCAAGCACCAATTGCCGTCTGGGAGTCGGCACATTTGTGAGACCCCACCCACCCACACCCACAGGAGGGAGGAGAAGACCTTAAGTCATGTCTCTTCATCCCAACCAACCCAAACCCGAGGGCCAACCCCAACACCCCCAAATTTAGGGTTTAGGGTTTAGGGCAAGGGAGGGTCCACCCCAACCCCCCAACCACAGCCACCCGCAGGGAAGGGTGAAGGAGGCTAGACCATGCGGGGGGGAGGGCCAGCGTGACCATATACAACCCCTATATCCCTGTTTAAAGGTACCCTTAATATTGGGAAACCCTAAACCATATATAACCCCTATATAACCCCTATATAATCCTAATGTCCCTGTTTAAAGGTACCCCTAATTCAGGAAAACTACCAGGTTCCGACTGAAGGAAGCTTGGGTTTTTGGCAGCCTCCGGGATCGGCCACCGTCAGCCTTCGCAGGAAAGCGGCAGTCAAGCACTACCATTTTCTTATTTTCGGTTATTGCTATTATGGCTCCTGTTACTATTATTACTATGATTTATTACTATTATTACTAATCTCTTCCCCCTAACAATAAACGACGTCCCCCCCACCCCCTAATAATAAATAATCCGGGCGGTCCGAATTTTTTTTATTATTAGGGGGGAATATTTATTGAGAGGATTTGGTAGGGCCGCCTTTAAATTCCTTTTAAAAT